GCAAGTTCCTTGATTCTTGTTGACAATTCTTTGAGATTCTTTCTCTCAGTAATAGGGAAGAGATGCTTGGTCTCATCATTTAGGTCCTTTGGCTCCTCTGGCAATGGGACGAATTTGAAAAAGAAAAAATCTGGAAGCTGAGAAAATTGATAGTATGTCCAGAGAACTGAAACTACCGAAGAGAGAAGTGATCTCCTTTTGATTGGCAATGGGTATGGTAGCTTGACAATTATGTTGGAAGGGATGTTTTCTGATTCATACGGCAGGGTTGGAAGTGATTCGTAAAGCATTTTTTTGATCAAATCTAGAAGTTCGATATAGTCAACTAATGTGTTATTGTCTTTTAAGAAATAGTTGCATCCGAATTCAAGTATCTAGACGATTTCATAGTATCTGAATTTGTTTAGGTCTGTAAACCTTAAGCATGCTACAAAAAGGAATGAGTTAAGGATCCATCTTATTTTTCTTTTGATTCTTCTACTGATATAGCCCACGTCATTATTTTTTTTGTAGTTGTCATGTGCTTTCGCTTCTAGGGCTTTGTACTCCTTTTGATAGTTGCCTTTCAATAAGTCATTCTTAGTGAATGACCTGAAGAAGGTTCTGTCCCTAAGGAGGTTTTTTGTGAAGATTGCAAAATAAGGTTCTTGTATAACCGAGCCTTTTGGAATAGTTTTGATTTTGGTAAATAGATTTGCTATGTCTTGGGCTTTGGCCCTGCAGGATAAAAGTTGGGATGCTAGATCAATGATTGTGTCATGTTCACTAACGAAGGGTTCGTCAATGTTGGCTACTTAGGAAGTGAAGAGATCATCTATTGGGTGGTTAAAAGTTAGATCACTTTCCATCAGGATTTCAATGATTCTTTTTTCTTTGTTGCTTGGAGGTGTTATATGTGAAGTTTCATTCAAGTCCCCTGTGGATAAGAGACTGGAGGAGTTTTCAAGGTCACCGACAAGGCTGGGTTCTTCATCCGGCCACTCTGGTAATACTCATGTTCCATTTACATACTGGGCGTGTTCTGATTCCTGTTGGGATGCTTGACTTGGGGCTACAGTATTTTGCAATTTGGCCAAATCCTCTTGAACTTGGTGATCGAATTCTATGAGGGAGCTGGTGTTACCTATGACAGATGGCTGATCCAGTGTTGTCATTGACACATCATTGTCTGAACATGGACTGGTGGGTCTAATTGTACTTCCTGATTTGTTCTGATAATCATCTGTGGTGACTGCAATATGAAGATCATCCACTTGCATCATGTCACCTGCGTTATACGAATTATTGATGTTTGCTGTTGTAGTACTACTGGTTTGTATTACATTTGCGCTGCTTGACGCTGCAGGAGATGCATGCATATCACTGCTGTGCTTATTCAAATTGGGAATAGTTGTGCTCTGTTGATCAATTGATAGGGGTAAGCTGCTTGGGGTTTTTTTGAGAATTTGGGATACAACTTTTTTTCCTTCAGGGATTGTGGGGAAACATTGTTCTTTAGTATTTGAATCTTTATCCTGGACTGATGTGTTGGGTGGTGGATGGGTGGATGCATTTTGTATTTTTTCAAGAGTGAATTTATTGTTAATGTTTATTATATTGACTTGATTCCAGGAAAGGTAAGAGGTGTAATTAAGATTACTGTCTAACACCTTGCTTATAATGGTTTCTCTTATGTTTGATGTAAGGTTATTCCTTTCCTGATAGAGAAAGAAATCCTTGAGGTTGCTTTGGGTATTGCTTTTCATGTTGTTAATGGAAAGTGAGGCTGTTGTATAGGGGTGTGAAGAGAAGTTGGAGTTGGTTGCTGCTTGTTTGAAACCAATAAAGGTGACATCCACCTTTGCTAAGTTGTTATTACTGCTTGGGTTTTGTAATAGGATAATTCAAAACTTTGGAAAGTTAGTTAAAAGAGGGATGGATACATGTTTCGCTGGCTCAGTGATTTGTATAATGTTTGAGTTGTTTTTCTTGTAAACTACTGAGAAAAGACGTTCACTTGGATTTGCTACAACAATATCCAAGAGGATGTGGGATGAAGCTGGTGGTTTGTCCTTAGGAGTTGGGCTCCCAAGAGTGCTTGCTGGTTTTTTTCTCCTTAAAATTTTACTTATTATTATAAAAGGAAATTTTAAGAAAAAAAAGGATTTGCGAGAAAGAGTTTTTTTTTATTATCTCAAATATTTTTTTCTTATATAAAATATTAATTATATATATTTTATTTAATATTATATATTTAAAACTTATATAAAATAATATTATTCTATAATTTTTTTTTTATAAAATATTTTTTATTTTTTTATTTTTTATACAAATAATTATAAAGTTATTATTTTTAAAAATTAAATTTCAATAGTAAATGATTTTTTTTTTCTATACTTGATAGTTTTTTAAAAAAATAATAAATTATATCATAAATAATAAATAATATTTAGATAATATAAAAACTATTTATATCTTGATATTAAAATATGTAATTATTTATTACTTTTTTAATAAATTTTATTTTAACAAAAAAAAATTATAATAAAAAATTAAAAAAAATTTATCTAAATAAAAACTTTGTTTTTTTATATTTAAAAAATTTGTTTTTAAAATTTGGTTTTGTTTATTAAATTATAAATAAATCATAGTTTAATTTTTTTTTTTTTATATTATAACTAATTTTTTTATAAACAAATAAATATTAAATATATGATTTTTATTAAACATAGTTTATAATTATTATATCAACAATTTATTATATATGTATATAATTTAATTATATTATAGCTAATTTTTTTGTTAATTCAAAAAAAACTACAAGTAAAAGTATTTTTTAATTATTTTTTTTTTAATTATTTTATTTTGAATAAGCAAATCTTTTTAATTTAATTTTTAATTTTAATTATATTAAATATTTTATATAATAAGTTAATTAATTAATTGTATTACACAAATAAACAATAATTATATATTATCTTATATAATATTAGATATAATAATATAATTAATTATAATAAAAAATAAAAAATTGTTACAAGTTAATTTAATATTATTTTTTATTATTAAATTTTTTATAGCATATATATATTTCTTTTAATAAATAATATTACATTGTAAAATTTGAGAACGGTACAAAAGTGAAAAGAAAAATTAAGTATTATATTAATGCTTGTTTATGATTTTTTTTTTTTTAAAAAAGAATTAAATACTATATTAATGCTTGTTTGCATTTTTTTTTTAAAAAAAAATAAATTAAATGTTATTATTGTAAATTTTATCTAATAAATATACAAATTCTATCATGTATTTATAACCAAAAAGTATATAATTCGTTATTTTTGAAAAATTTTAACCTATTATAACAATCATTTAATAAATGAAAAGAAAAACCGGTTTTTCGAAATTAAGTTGAGCCATTTTTCCATTATGACATAACAGGTATCACCTTATGGTCTGATCAATCCGCCCATTATTTTTGGATACAAAAAAAAATCGTTTGATGCAAATAAATTATTTTTAGATAAATAAATCGTTCGAAAATTAATTTTTAACAACGGGATGCATATTCCATTGATATTTTATCTCAGTACATAGTTTTGCTTGATTTTTTTCACACGATCAATCCATTCTACCTGTTATAATCATGGGAATTTTATTTCTTGATCCTCGAATCAAGACTAATATTCGATGTGATAATTCTTTACAATTCAGGTATAAAGCGTTAAAACAAGAATACATGATCGTCAAATAAGCCAGATCATAGGCCTTATGACCATATTTGTAGAGTGAATTAGTATCCTGAACCGAATGTCTATGACGTAACCAGGCTGGTAATCTCTGGCACGAAAACACTTATTTGTAGATGAATACTGAACGTGCAAAAAGGATGTTAATACAATATCTTGATTCCTTTATAATGGGAACTGAACATGGTCAATCATGTATGGTAAAATAACCGATCGCTAACAAGAAATCATAATCAAAATGGCGAGTTATTGTTTAATAAATGCTTTCATCACGGTAATTACTTGTACTACTGAAGATTATGTCTAATACAACTCTAATCAATTAACCGAAATCTTCAATTTTAGCAGCTTCAAAAGTACTATTGAGTGCAGTTTCGGGGAATGTATTTTGATATTTATTCCTTAGGAATCAAATAATTGATTCACGAATCCAATGTTACAGTATATTAATTTTTTCCATTATTTTCGTCATTCAGTTCAGGAGAAAAAATAGATAAGCTAACAACATTTTGAATACATTTGAACGAAAGTATCTTCGATTAGCGCTGAATTATAAATAGCATGTATTATATTCTTATTATAACAGGAACTACAATATATAGATGGTTAGTGTTCGTCGATTC